CTTGATACCTTCTGTCGTCTACAAGATTGCTGAATACACTATTCCTGTTGGCATAAACACGATTACAAAAAAGAAATTGAAGGATGGATAGAGAAAAAATGGCTGCAAAAGTACGATTCGAAGAAACACGGTCCAATAAAAGGTTTGGTTCCTCTCATGGCAGTCGTGCAGCGAAATAAAGGAAAAGTACGACCAGTATTGGACTTCAGGGAGCTCAACACGTTTATTGAAGCATTCACTGCAAACACAGATGCGTGTGCTGGCAAACTTCGAGATTGGAGACGGTTGGAGAAAATGTTTCAATAATTAACTTATCTTCAGCTTACATGATGATGAGAAACTTTGGGCTTACCAAACTGTTGTTTTCCGTGGAAAAAGATTTTGTTTAACATGTTTGGGATTTGGACTAAACGTTGCGCCAGTCATAATGAAAGTGGTGTTGGACAAAGTGCTATCACAAGACGAAACAATCTGGAAAGGAACGTCATCATACATTAATGATATTTTTGTGAATGAAGACATAATGCCTGTTCGTTGGGCTTCATTGCAAGCCGGTGGTCCGCGTATCCGATGGAGTAAGAGTTCTTGGTTTACAAGTCGGAATTGAAAATAAAAAGTTGCGTTGGAGAAAAGATGATGATTTTGGTGAAATTCCGAAATCATTAACAAGACGTAACATCTTTTCTTTGTGCGGAAAAATGACAGGAAATCTTCCAGTTTGTGGTTTGTTGCGTGTAGCCTCGTCATATGGTAAAAGAATAGCAAACGCCTTGACAAAAACGTGGGGATAAAAAAATAAAATGCAATTATCTGGAGAAAATGTTGAATGATATGATAAAAAGAACATGAAACGACGATCCTGCTAAAGGAATTTGGTTTACAGTTACGAGAAAGTGTTTACAGTTATGAGGCAACAATTTGGATAGATGCTAGTTCAATAGCACTAGACGTGGTTGTCGAGGTTGATGGCAATATAATCGAAGACGCTTGTTGCTTAAGAAAAGACGACACAACACATATAAACATGTCTGAACTTGACGCAGTAATTAAAGGACTAAATATGGGCCTTAATTGGAAAATGGAAATTCTACACATCTGCACTGATTCGAAAGCGGTATTCAATTGGGTTACCGACGCACTCACGGGAAAATCTAGATTGAGAACAAAAGCTTCAAACGAAATGCTGATAAGAATAAGACTTCATAACATTGCGAATATAGTGGAAGAATACCAACTCAAAGTAGATATTAAACTTGTTGCTTCGGAGTTTAACTTGGCCGATGCCCTTATTAGAGTGCCCAATAGTTGGTTAAAATTGGTTGATAAACCCTATGAAATGGCGGCAAGTGGCATTAATAGTACTTCGCTATCTCCCAAAGACATCGAGCTGGTTCATAGATCTACAGGACATTATGGCGTGAAGAAAACATTGTACTTCGCTCGTAAAATTGACCCGTCAGTGAGCAAGGAAGACGTAAAACAAGTGGTTGAGAAATGCATAGCCTGTCAATCAATCGATCCAAATCCAGTGAAATGGCCGAAAGAGAAAATAGAAGTAAAGAGAACGTGGTAACGACTTGGCATGGACAACTCATTATGAGGGGCAGCACTATCTTACTTTAATCGACTGTGGATCTACACGGATATGGCGATATCTTGAAGATCAAACCAGTGCATGTGTTATTCAAAAACTAAATGCGATATTTCTCGAACGAGGAGGTCCGGATGAAATACTGACGGACAATGATACTGCATTTCAAAGTACATTGTTTTCTCAGTTTGTAAATAAATGGAACGTTAAACTTCGATTCAGGTGCGCTTATGTACCTTTGGGAAATGGAATTGCAGAACGATGTCACCGAACTGTCAAAAGAACGGCGAAGAGAGTTCCGTGCAGCATACTGGAGGCAGTTTAATGGTATAATAAAATAAGTTATATCAATACAAAAAAAAAAGTTACATCAATACGAAATTAGAGTAAGAGGAATTGATAACAAGAAGATTTTATGGCTGTTAATTATATCGATTTGCGTCAATTGTAAATAGTTGTATATAATATAAAGTCATAGTTGTAAATACCAAGAGTTGTAAATACCAAAAAAATATGATTGTATATAAATTATGTTGAGTTGCATTAGAAAAATTATGTTGATTTGCATTAGAGGCAAATATAAAATTGCAATATAAAATATGTTGAGTTGCATTAGAGGCTAAACTTATAAAGTCAATTTTGATGTGAAACAACAAAAAGGTACGCAGCATTCACAATTTTTTGTTTAGTTCTTTTTTCCTAGAATAGTTTATGTGCGGTACAATGTTTAAATATTTAATTTTTTGTAATGTTGTCCTCAAGCTGTTTGTTATAACTTATTAGCTGGAGCAAATTGCGATTAACTCATTTATGAGCATATCAATTAACCCATTTATGTTTGTACTTAGATTGATTTTCTTTCTATATAAGTATTAAGGTGCTCCAAGAAGTCCAGCCTTATTATAGAGCACCATAGAAGAGCATTATACTAGTAAGTTCATATTTTTCTAGGTATTATTTTCTCATCACATATAAGAGTTTAAACGCTCGTGTTTATTTATAAAGGGGTTTTATGGAAATTTTTGAGGGCTATATTGTTGTTTATTACCTAAACTACCCAAAATAAATACGCAAAAATTGTAAAAGGCAAAGCTTTATTTATTGATGATAAAAGCATTTAAATTTATTGTTAAATATATAGTTTGTTGCAGAGTTACGAACTAACTGGATAACATAACAATCGATTCGATATATAACAAACTAACCGGATAACAGAATGAATCTATTCGATATGTTTGAAGCATATGGCAGCACTTTGGTACCTTTTATTTTTGGATGCTTTTTTATTGTTTAAATCAAAAGGTTCGATGTTCAATAACGACTCAGGCAAGAAAAACAGTACTGGTAAGGAAGAAGACGTGAACTTTCCTGATAAATAATATGTTCTTAAAGCACGCCCTCTAACTACTGCGCTACGTCTGATTTGTATTTGGCCACAGAGCCACGGCTTCCATGTTTTTGTTATGGACCATATTTTTACCTCTACCTAAAGCATTTTGTTGATTAAAAAAAAAAGTCAATTTACTTGATTGTAAATATATCTGGTAATAAAAATATCTGGTAATAATATGTTATAATGATCTTGCGATCTGAAATACATTCATAATTATACTAGCTATTTAAAAAAAAAACTATTTTCTTTTTTTTATTTTAAGGTAGATAAAAGCATAAGATTGCCCGGTGAGAAATCGGCTTGCGAATAGCTAGCTACAATCGTATATAAAGACAGCGATTTGGCCACGATAATCGCTAGGTTTTTTATATTAGCGAAAAGCTATCAATATTTATATAGATAAAGACAGCGATTTGACTACGAGGACAACTAGCTTAATAAGCAAAAGACCCACTAGCTGTTGTAGCTAGCATCATATTGTAAAAAAATCTCTTTCTAAAAAATTTTGATATGTAGCTATCAACCAGCTATAGATTTGTAGATATTTTGATGCTAGCTACAAAGCTACGATATGTAGCTAGCGGCACATTGCTACGAAATCGCAATGTTTAAAGTTCAATTACTCTCATAATTATAATAGACTTAACACTAAAAATCGAGTTTTTAAAGATGTAAAAGACATCAGAAAAAAAAAATCATAAAATAAGAAAAAAAAAATCGCTTGAAAATAGCTCTAAAGCTAGCTAGTCGCTCGCCAGTCGCTAGCTCATTTCCCACCGGGTGGATATTTTGGAACCGTCTTTTTAAAAACTATAAATCATTTCATATTATATTAAATCTCATATTATATCTTGTGTTAATATAAATGTTATTTATATTAACACTTTACTAGTCATTTTAGCATGAAATTTGGAACATTTTTAATCATGGTAACATAAATCCTTCGAGAGAAAAGAAATGAAAACAAATGAATATTTTAGAAATTATGCATGAAACATTAAAAAATAAACGAGCTAAACAACCCTAATATAACAAAATTTCAAGATCTAAAATGCATTGAAAAAAAATCTTTTCTCAAATGAATTTTAATATTATGAAGAACAATCTGTGAAAATTTCAGCACTTTTGCTTAATTATTTAAAAAGTTATTATTTCGCAAACTTTGAAAACTAGTGAAAAAGTATATTTTGAGATTTTGCGATATAAAAATTAAAATTACTCAAAAAGCATAAAAATATATAATTTCTGGAATAAATATATTGAAATAAAAACCTCCAGGTTCATATGATATTTTTTCAGTTTTCTTAACTTTATTTGAGTATTCTTTTTTTTTAATACTTTTTACTGTTTACGTCTTTTTATATTTTGGGGTACCACCTTAAGACAGGCGCATTTGAGTTGATTTAATTGCTATGGTCGCAAAAACTAGAAACAACTTAAAATCTATCGTTGCACGCAGTTGCTAGGCAAAAGCTTTAGTTCGGCGCTTTTTTTTCTTGCTAGAAAAAAAAAATTATTAAAAGAATATATACAACAACTATAGAAGGTTTAAATAAATTCCATTGATTATCTATAATGACGTCTTTTATGTGTTCCGTTTGTAATAATGGGATATTCCTAATAAAAGACGTGGGATAATTGCGATTTTACTCGTTTTAAATCATAGTCCAAGAGTCGTACTAATTTTTTTACTGCATATTTCTATAAGCATTGGGGTTAGTAATTAAGAAGCAATTGATCTCTTAAAAAGTGTTTTTTTTTTACACTCTTAAAACCTAAACAGACGTCAGCTTATGATTTTATAAATAAAATCACAAAATATTAATACATGAATTAAGATTTGTTTAGAAAGAATAGTAAATAATTGCGAAGAAAACTTAAGAATGTTTTTGGTTGAAATGTTTCTACATAAATATAAAATAAATGATAAAACCTATTTTAAATTAGACTTTAATTTAGGATTTATATTTTTTTATGTATTTTTTAATACATTTTTTTAAGCATTGTTTTTGAAGTTTTCAGAACAGACAGTCACGTGGTTTTAAATAATAGATTTACGAAAACAACACGTGGTTAAAACAAAAGATTTCAAAAACAGCGTCAGAGTGTTAACGGAAGTAAAAATTAGCAGATGGAAAGAGATGGGAAATCGAGTTAATAATATATTGCTTGATTTGACGAAGTAGTTTGAATTTTAAATTTTTTATTGTAGCTTTTCTTATATGAACCATACTTGTGATGTATTTACAGAAACCGTTTTATTTTTGAATGAAAATACCTATTTAATGGATTATAAATCCATGTTTTATCCATGAAGCAGCTTTTTTATGTTACTTTTCAAATAATATTGCTAGCAAAAGTGACTTTAACGACTCAAAACTTACTTGATCAAAACGGTAAGATGCACAAATTGTGCACATAAAATGTGTATTTTCTTTAATTTTGAGTTAATACTAGTTATTTTTATTTTTAAAAGGTAAAATAAATTTTAACTTTGTTCAAGAAAACTCTGTTAAAGTACATCAACAGAATTTACTTTTAGAAAATGTTAAAATAGTTTTATTGTTTATTTGTTAAACCTGAAATAGGGGGCTGCTAGGTGCTTCAGTTCATACATCAAATGACTAATAGGTAAAACATTCAAGAAAGTGTTACAACTAATGGTTTTGGTTGGTGCAGCAATTTTTTTTTAAATAATCAGTATTTTTTCTACTTTTGAAAAAGCTGTATTTAACAAATTAAGCAAAAAAAGTGCAATTCTTGATCTATATCTGCATTTATAATGTATATATATATATATATATATATATATATATATATATATATATATATATATATATATATATATATATATATATATATAAACAATTTTAAAAGGTATTCTACAAAATAAAGTGCTCATTGTTTTTAAAAGAGCTGAACAATAAATTAAATTAGTAGAAAATCACTTAACATTTTTTAAAAGTGATTTTCTACTAATTTATATATATATATGTATATATATATATATATATATTATATATATATATATATATATATATATATATATATATATATATATATATATATATATACACATACATATATAAATATATAAATTTTTTTTTTCAAAATATGAATAACTTGATATCAATAGAAAGATGTAAAAGTGGGCTATAAATTTATATTAAAGTCTAACCACTGAGCATATGGGGTGAACATAGGGAGCGCTAAACCAATCAATGGATGAAGTCTGTCTGCAAAACAACATGATAAAAAGTTGAATGCTCTGATGTCACAAAATATTTTTATCCAGGGTCCAGTAAAAAGCTTTCCAAATACTGCAAATGCATACAAGTTTGATTGTGGTTGTACTACCAAATGCTGCTCAAAGAGTTGCTTTTAAAATTTAACACTTTACTGTTATATTTGCAAGATATTACTAAAAGTCACTGTAATGTTTTATTAAAATAAAGCCTCACAGTGACTTTTGTGTTTGAAAAACAATTGTTATTTATTTATGCTTCTTTTTGATGTCTTCTTTGACATTTTATGTAATATTTGTAACAGTTTTTTGTAATTATATTTTATATCTGATAATGTTCTGTGCAAAAACAGGTTGAAATATTACAAAATTTAGTATGCAGCTGTTCTTTATGCTTTATACTTTAAATGTATATGTGTGTGTATATATATATATATATATATATATATATATATATATATATATATATATATATATATATATATATATATATATATATATATAATATATATATTTAATCTAGATCTTCCTATATTTATGAATGATAATGTGCTTAATGAGTCATCTACCCTTTGTCTTCTAGGATTAACTCATCTCAGATTTTTCTTGGAAACCATATAACAAATCCATTGCAAAATTAGCAAATGCTAAGGTTGTATCTCTTTATCGTGCTTACCACCTTTTTACTCTGGATTCTATTGTTTATCTCTATCCTTATATCTATAAATCTGTTGCCATATCTGGCACGGATCTTCCAATGGTACCCTTTTTCTTTTAGACAATGTACAAAAACCCATTGTAAACATAGTTGGATCTGCTCTTGCAGCTAACCTCTAACCATTATCACATTGACGTAATGTTACTTCTCTTTCCCTTTTTTATAAATACTATAATAGGCACAGCTCTAAAGAGCTAGCGCCTCTTGTGCCATCTACTAAAGTTCATTTTTGTGTTACTCACCATTCAGTTAAGTCTCATCCTTTTCCTGTGAATGTTCCTAAGAGCACCAAAAATTATTATTCATCTAGTTTTTTTCCTCAAACATCAGTTCTTTGGAATTTGTTTCCTTCACCTTGCTTTCCTGGTTCATATAATTTTTGCATTCTTTTAAGTCGTCTGTTAATTTTTGTCTTGCTCTTTAAACTTCATTTTTTCTCTTCCAGTAACTTCCAACTCTAATAGTGGTTGCTTGCAGCCTTGTTGGAAGTGAAGATGTTAGTATATATATGTATGTATATATATATATATATATATATATATATATATATATATATATATATATATATATATATATATATATATATATATATATATATATATATATATATATATATATATATATATATATATATATATATATATATATATATATATATATATATATATATATATATATATATATATATATATATATATATATATAGTGCTCAATGTTTTTAAAGAAAAGAGCAATAATAAATTAGTAAAAACACTAATTTAAACTAAAAACACTAAACATCTAATTTTTTTCAACAGCTTGTTTCTACATCAGTAGGTTCATCAGGAAGCCTTACTATTGCCTTTTAGTAATTTATATATGTATATAGCCTGCTGAGCCTGAAGGAGGTGCTGATACATCAACTGAGGATTTTGGGTGGGGCAGCAATCTTATTTTACATATATGCACAACCTGTAGAGTTTGGGCAAAAGTTTTTCCATTATCTAACATAAAAAAACATTGAAGAACAAGGACAGAAAATTTTTTTTTATAAATAAAATAATTACCTGCTTAGCCAAAACCCTGAGTCAATGTAGCGGCACTCCTTGCATGTTTCACCTAATTAAGTCAATCAATGTATAAACCCTCCTTGCATTTACTATATATATATATATATATATATATATATATATATATATATATATATATATATATATATATATATATATATATATATATATATATATATATATATATATATATACACATATATATACACACACATATATACACACACATATATATATACATTTATATATATACATATATATATGTGTGTGTGTGTGTGTGTGTGTGTGAACCCTCTTTGCATTTTCTATAAATTTTCATTTTATTTATTTTTTAAGATTTTATCAAATTAGATTTTAAAAGTATATTATAAAAGTAATAAAAAACAATATATAAGGTTGGTAATATATTTTTTAATATTTAAATTCTTAGGATGCAAAGTACTTGCTGTTCTGTGTCTTAAAGATCCAACATGTGGGGATGCTGAGGGTATCATTAATTTAAAATGAATTATACTGTTTCTTAATATGGTTATATTTGTTATGATTAATATGATTATATTGTTATAATTATATTGTTACTTAATATGATTATATTGTTATATTAACTCTGCAAATTTTAATGTATATCCTAAGAAATTCTCACTTACAAAGTTGTAAAAAGCTATATTTAAAAATTTTATAAAAAAAATTAAATTAATGAAATTTTTGTTAGTTTTGAGTTATAAGTTTCAAAATAACTTTTCTCCTTTTTCAGTTTTTAGGTCATTTGTTTTGATTTAATTTTTTTTTTTTTTATTATTTAAAAGATTTTAGAAAATATATAGCTTTTAACAGCATATATAGTTTTTTTGATCTACAGTAACAATTTTTATCTACAATTTTTATCTACAGTTTTCTTTATCTACAAAACTTTTTTTTCAATGAATTATCTTCCTTATTTCTACCTTCTATCTCCTTACATTATTTTTTACTGCATTCACCTCCCCAAGGCCAAAGAGCCACTACAGTTGAGAATGCAACTCACTTTTCTTTTTTTGCTGTTACAATTCTCCTTGAACCCTTTAAACCCTTTTCTTTACAAACAAGGCTAATGTGTTTAGTAATAAGTTAAATGCTACTAACTTTTTTTTTTTTGCTGTTATAATTCTTTTCTAACCCTTTAAATCTCAAAAACAGATGTTTTGAAAAGCAAGGCTGCTGTATTAAGTAACAAGTTGAATATTGTACTATTGGAGACATCAGGAGTGAAAATATTTGAAAACACTAGTTTTATTTACAGTTTGTTAATGTAATTTTTTTTTTATGTTTTTTTTTTTTTTTATGTTAAAAATTTAATTTATTAACAAGAAAACTTATCAGTTATCAAACTAAAAAAAAAAACAAATGAAAAATAGTTTAAATTTTTTAATTATTATAATTTTAAATATTTTAATGCATTTTAAGTTATTGCATTAAAAACATATGGTAATTTTTTTTACTTTATGTAAAAAAAAAATCAAATTTTTGTTGGTTATAGTTTTTGTTCTATTATTGTTATTTTTATTATTTCTATTACTAATTAAAATATCAAAATTAATAGTAAATAGATAATTTTAATTTAATTTATATTCCAAATATTTTATAAATGCAAATACAAATCTATGCTACTTTAGTGTTTTATGAGAAATGTTTGGAGAGATTAAGTGCTAACTTTGAACCTTATAGAAATTTAATTGGTGAGTTTAATTATTATGAAATATTTATATTGTATCTTATCTTACATTTTATAATCTTTTATAATTTAATTTTTTTAGAAAGTTTTTACTAGAGAACTGAGTGATTTGATGAATCAATTTTACAGTAGAGAATTGAGTGATTTGATGAGGGAATTTTACAGTAGAGACCTGAGTGATTTGATAAGGCAATTTAACAGTTTTAGATTTAAATTGTGATAATAGAATATTATCACAATTTAAATTTATATAATAAAAGTAAACAGATGTTTACTTTTATTGTATAAATGTTTTTTTTTTTTCCAGAACCTTTTTTTTTCAAAGTGTTCAAGGTAGTAAACATTGAAGTTATTCAGTGTTGTGTTTTAAATAAAATAAAATTCAATTCAATTTTTTTAACAAAACATTAATTCAGTTTTTCAAGTTTAGTAAACTTAAAACTTGAGCTGATTTGACTTTTTTTATATATTTTTAGAGAACCACTTTTAGAGAATTCTCACATTGTTGCTTAGTTAAATTTTTTCTTTTACTGAGTGGTAGTAGATGACCAGAGTCTTAAGGTGAGTTTCCACTCATCCGTTTTTCTATGGGAATGGGATAGGAAAAGGAAAAATAATCATACGAGCATGCGTAGTTTTACTTTGAACAAATTAAATCTTATAATACGCATGCCCACATGATAATTTTTCCCTTCCCATTTCCGTTCCCGTGAAAATAGGGATGAGTGGAAACTTATCTTTAAATATGGAATTTTTGTAGGCAAACATATTTGTTATTGATTTATATATATATATAATATATATATATATAATATATATATATATATATATATATATATATATATATATATATATATATATATATATATATATATATGTATATGTATATATATATATATAATGTATTATATATTATATATATAATATATATATATATATAATGTATTATATATTATATATATAATATATATATATATATATATATATATACACTATCATATATATACAAATATAAGAACATCAATATAAGACAAGTTATTTATATAATGTATCAATATTTATGCAGCTCTGACTTTATTTTTATCAAACTTGGTCTCAGATTCTGTTAAATTTTGACCTTATTTGTTTACTACTAAATGGTGCTAACTTTACTTCTGGATTTTTTCCAGGTTTTGAAAAAGTGTTATCCAATCCAGTAACATTTTTAAGTTTGGCCCTTTTTCCAAATCATTTGGATAAAAACACAAAGAATTATCACAAAAAAATTGAAAAAGAAACTGTTAAACGAGCTGATGAAGATCAGTTCTTAAATGTTGACAACAGAAAAGATCGATTTTCAAGTGACCATAAAGGACGAGATCAATTTTTAAGTGATGCCAACAGAAAATTAAAAAAAGAAATTGTCAATCAAGCTCTTGAAATTATTCAAAAATTACTAAACAAAGATATAAAACCTTATAATAAAGAGTTTTCTAAAGAAGACATTTATGACATTAGTCATGTACCAAAATCCCAATCAGTAAATAAAGTCTTAAGTTCCCCCTCTTACCCTATCACTAGTTCTGTTGTGTTAGATAAAAAACATGTAATTTCTAATGTTCATGATTTGGAAAGAATAGCTAATGTGATTTACAGTCAAAATGAAGAAGATATTTCAGAAAACGATAATGATAAAAATGATATAAAAGTGTATACATATCCAATGTAAGTTTTTTTCTCCTCTATTTCATTTTTATTTGTTTCTGTTTCAATTTTATAATTCATATTTAATTAATCATTTTGTTATTTTTTTAAGCATTTAAATAAATATGACTTAAATAAAACAAATAAATAAAAGTAGAAAGTAGTTAAATAGTTTTGTTTTCTAATACTTTAACATTATTTGAGTTCTTTTAAATCTAAAATCAAAATGTATAAAACATCATTTAAATCATTAACATTACCAGCATTTTTTTATTGTTAATGTATTTATTTTAAATTTATTTGTTTTAGTTTAACTTCAATTCAAGCTGCATCACTGGGAAGTATTTTGCAAAACATAACAAAAGCTATTTTTGTTTTCAATAAGTATGTATTTATTGATAGTAGAAGTTCATTTAAAGTACATGAAGAGTTTATTCATTGAATTCACTATAGGTTGTATTGACAGATTAATTTTTAATTTTAAAAAAATTTTGCAGTTAGCATTTCAATATCAATGTGTGGAATATAGATGTCTCAAAATCACAAATTGTGTCTCTGATTTTTTGTAATAGTTTTTCAAAAGCATATAAGTATGCAATGATAAATGAAAGTCATATGAGTTGTTTTGTATTTACTGCATAATAAAAAAAATTAATGAAAGTTTAAATTGCAATTTGATTGGTTTACGTGCTGTGCAAAAGTTATTCTTCAAATAGATTGGTTTGTGTTGCGTAAAAGTTATCCTTCAAATAGAAACTTTGAGAAACTGTTACATATATAGCAATAATAAATCATATTAATTATGCTGGAAAAATGTTTGCAGAAATAAATCTGATATATCAATAATTCTTTATATTTTTTATAAACTTTGTTTTATTTTGTCCATTTTTATTTCAAGTAGTTTCTATGGTTAAATAATTTGTTTGACTTTTGAAATTTAATGTCTTGTAATTAGCAGCTTTTTTAATGATGCTAAAAGTTTACTGAATAGAATTATTAGAGCTTAACCTTAAGATGAAATGAAGGTAAATGCAAAAAGAGAAATAAAAAAAAGTACTAAAAAGAAAACAAAAAGAAATGATGCATAAAAAACAATATAAAAATAAAAATTACATTTAAAATTTGAAAATAAAAGTTATTAATTTTTCATTTTTTGATTGTTTTTTTTTTTCACTTAGACAGCAAGGAAATGAAATTACTTATCTTGTATATACACCTTCCTTACCTGTTTCTACAAAAACCTTGCAAAGTATAATCCAAAGCATTAATACTGGTATTGTTATTCAAAATATTTTTTTTTAATCTTACTTTATTAACAATAATCATCATTAAATTTTAATTTATTTTATTGTATTAAATTGAGAATAATAAAATAAAATCTAAGGCTTTGTTATTTAAAGGTTAGAACTATTGTAGCTTGAATTGAGTATTATTATTCACCTTTTGTTTTGGTTTTTATTTAACTATTTAGAATAGAAAGTTTTGCATAATTATAACATTTTTGCACAATATCAACGTGCTATTGAAATTACATTATAACTTTTTTAATGTTATATTAATGTTTCCCATTTTTATTGTTGGTTGTAACTTTCTTTAAAATTTTTGTCAACATTGCCAATATTTTAATTGTTTGTCAACAGTAATTAATTTTTGTAGAAAATTTTTCAAATATATATCAACTTCACTTTGATTTAAGCAAAGGAAAGATTTCTTGTTTTGGTTTTCTATTTTGTTTATTTATATTTTCTTTTAATACATGTTATATTATTTGTAAATAAGCTAATTTAAAATTTAAAAGTATATCAGTTTACATGTATGTATGTGTGTGTGTGTGTGTGTGTGTGTGTGTGTGTGTGTGTGTGTGTGTGTGTGTGTGTGTGTGTGTGTGTATATATATATATATATATATATATATATATATATAAGTTTACATGTATGTGTGTGTATAATATATACATATATATACAGACACACATTAAATCTCGGTTGGAATTTGGCAATGTGGTTATAAAAAACCACTTAATTAGCTTTACTATGACATACATGTGCAAATCTCAATCTTTAAAAAAAAGTTGACGTTTTGAACATAACATTTATATGCTGTCTTAAAAATTTAATAATCAAAAATAAATACATGTAATAAATATATTTAAAAAAAAAAATCATATATTAAGTCTGTTTTAAAAAATTTAGTTGAGAGCAATCATTTTATTTAAAACAAGTTATTTAATTAAAAAAGCAAAAAAAAAATAGCAATGCTCTAACAAATAAAATTAGAAAACAAACATTTTATTCTAGCTAAAAAAAAAAAGCAGTCATTACCAAAGTAATTTATTCAAAAGTGAATTTTTTTAAAATTGATTTTTTCCCTTTGTTCAAATTGTCTGGCATTCTCTCACTTAAGATGGTTTGGTATGATTATTATATTTTAAAATCTTTTTTTTTTTTTACTTGTTTTTTTTTTTTTTTTAATTTGTTTTATAATTTAAAACTGTTTGTTCATATTTTTACTCCAATTAATTTGAGATACAAGAAGTTTAAAAACAAGAAAGTTTAGTATCTGCAAAAAAAAAAATTAAAATAGAATAGTTATGATATAATTTGTGGGAAGAAAATGTTATAAAATGATTTAATGTTTTTTGTTGAAGCAATTAAAAATACTTACTGTTCATTTTTTTAGACAATTTTTGACTATTTGAATTAAGTTGTGATTAATTTAAAAAATTTTGATGGTTAACTTTAATGCTGTTCTCATTTGTCAATATTTCAAAGCCTTATCAATAAACAACTTTATAAATAAGTGAATAATCAATTAGCAAGACATTAACCAAGAAGCAATAAGTAAAAACAAATAATTTCTTTTTAATATTTATCCTAATAGCTTGCTGCTTAAAAATAGCTTATAAGTGTATTTTGGGTTGCTTTTTTTATTCAAATTTTTATGTTGAACTACGAAACAGCTTTATCCAGTTTCACTTGTTTTAAAGCCAAGCAATTTTTTATTTTGAATCATAATACTTTTTTTTTATTATTAATATTTATTTTGAATCACATAATACCTTTTTTTTATTATAAATATTTAGCCTTATGTTTCAGTTTTAACAAAAATTATCATTTTGATAAAATAATCAATTGTTAAATTAAATGATATCATTATCAAGTAAATAAGTATAAGCCATGATAAATATTTTTATTTTATCATTGAAATAATAATTATTATGATTACGTATTTTATTGATAAAAATAAAAGCTATAAATAACACAAAAACTAGGTGTTATACATTCAAGTTAGTACATATCGGGAGCAATTTGTTCAAGTTATAAGTCAAAAGTTGTCAATGAATTCTTTTGTAGACATAAGACAGGGCTTTTTTGTATTTTTGTCAACAATCATGATTTTAAATGAAGTTGATCTCCATGACAATGACCTACTTGTATCACTAAAATTAATTATCTCATTGTTTAATCGTTTTTTGTATTTTAAGAAGACTTTCTCTTTTTCAACATATTTATTACACTTGATGTAAAGGTTGCTGTTCATTTTTTTTGTTAACCTGCTTTTGTCTCAGTTGTATCTGTTGCTGGTTCGAACTGAAATTGACATTTTTTTTCAAAGCCAATAGCAATGAGGGCCACACTGATACAAATAACACTGATACTCAAGTTCAATGTTATTTGTAGGTGTTAAACACCTACAAATAATATTGAACTTGATTATTTTTAACATAACATAGAATAACATTGAACTTGAGTATCATTGAACTTGAGTATTAAAACACTGTTTTAACAATTCCAACAACATTATTAAAAAGTTATTCATTCTTTTTATATCTAAATCAGAATACTTTCCTCTTTCTTATATAACTAAATATACCTTTCTTATAAAACTAAATTTTGAACTATAGCTAAATTTTGCCAAACTATATTTGCAAGAATGATACAATCATGTTTATTAATGATGACATTAAATAAAGTTGCATGCATCTTACTGAAGAACATTGACAGTTTAGAATGGATGGCTTTACTTTAAGTTTTACAGTAAAATAGTGAAATGATTTATATTGGTTGAAAAATTTGTTACAATGAATAAATTAGTTGTTATGTAATCACAATTTACAGCATCTCGGAATAAGGAAGCAAGTTTATTTGTTATATATTCATTTTGGTCTAAAAATTCCTTGAATTCATCCCAGTGAAAGCAAACGATTGAAGAAGATTTGAAAGACATTTAAATTGAACATCTTTAAATTCAAAAAGTATCTTTGTTTTTATGTTGGGTAAATAAGTTTTGTACCTATGATCTTCATAGTAACAAGTTTATGACATCACAGGACAAGTTTAGTACCTATGGTCAAAGATAATTTTTCAGTACTCTTGTTAATAGATATATCTAACAGAAATCCCTTAAAAAGGGTTTCTCCATATTCATTTCATTTTTTTTTGACTCAAGACTATTTTGATAGCTTTGTTAAAACCTAAAGCTGTATGTTGACAGTTGATCAGCAGGAGTTTCTTTATCAAGTATATCGGTTTTAATTTTAGCCTATATATTTTAATTTTAGCCTATATGTGAACATCGACTTTCTGGTATTGTTATTTTCATCAATGTTTTGATACTTCTTGTAACATATCAAATGTTACTTTTATTTTATCTGAAATATTTGCTGTAGTTTCTGAAGTAATTGTTATTGTAAACAAAGGAAAATAATATTCTTGATTAATATGTAAACTAGAAAGTGCAGAGAAGTCCCAACATTCTTTTGAGTGGCAGAGTTAGTTGCGTGAGTTATTATATCTCCACCAAAGCATGAATTAAATATCCTAAATTCTGGTCTTTTTTAATTTTTCAAAAACTATATTTACTTATAATACTTGGATTAACTGGTGTTTAACAAGTTTAAAAAAGTTAAGTATTATAAAAACAAATATTTAAAAAATTAAATATTCTTTGAATATTAATACTAATTTTGATTTTGATCATGTATGAATGTTTTGGTTCAGCAAATAAAGTTTTTTTAAAATTGTTTTAGTGTTTTTTTCAAATAGTTAATCTTCACTTTTTCCCAATTTTTCAAGAAATCCATTTTTATCTTCAAATAGACTTAAATTCTCCATTTTTCTTTTGTCATTAATGATTTTTTGATAGAAAGATAAACATTTGCATAAACATTTTGCATCTAAATTTTCTGTCACCAACCATATTGTCTAAAAACATAGTCTTCAGCATTCATTGAAATATCTTTTCTAGATTTTTAAAGCATTCTGTATGAAAGCAGAAAATGTCAAAACGTTTTTTAAGAGATTCATTTATAGAAATCCATTTATTTAAAAATTTAATCTAATTGCTTGTTTTTATAAACACCTTTTAAGTAAAAATATTGTTTTAGTTCATTTTGAAGATGTTTTAAATGGTGTAGTATGATATTAGACACTGTTCAATTGATTTCTACTAACTTTGCAACTCTTTGACTGGCACTTTTAAAGGATAATTTATTGTTGACTTTATTAAAGACAAGTGCAATAAAATACCTGAGTAAAGGAAACTTTGTATGACAAAATCTATCAACTACAGAGTGACTTTCTAAAGGAAGTTTAGTTTAATTTTAAACTAGTTTGTTAATACTTTTTGTTGCCATTTTTTTCATTTTATTTTGAATAAATTTAGTTGATAAAAATTTAGTTCAAAATAAAAAGCAAAGTACGCTCTAGCAGACTAAAACAAAAGCAAATTTTTACACTAGATAATAGCAGCAAGGAGCAATTATTGCAACATTAACGTTACAAACATATGCTTTAAAAAAATATAAAACCAAATTTTGTAAATAATAAGCAATTTTTATATAAATAAATAGCTTGTGCAAAAATCAAAAGCTCTTGTAAAAAGTAGTTTAGAGTAGCAGCTCGCATGGCTCGCCATGTTCGTTTTAGGAGAGCTTTCTCATATACATACATACACATATATATATATATATATATATATATATATATATATATATATATATATATATATATATATATATATATATATATCCATATAGTGTAGACGAAAGAGCGTTATAATGTAAAAAAAGTCTCTTTCGACTACAATTTTAATTACCTCGTCTCTTAAGCTGTATTTGATTGTCGTCGAAATGTCAAAGCAATTAAATTAATGCGGAAGTACATTAAATTTTATTGTTTTTTAAAAAATTTTTAAAAAACCGCAATTATAACGACTAGAAAGTTTTTTTTTATTAGTGATGTTTTTATTTTATTAAAAAACATTTTTAAAACATGCGTAAATGTTGCTACATCGACTATCTTATAGCCTGACTCGCAACGGAGTGTTGCTACATCGACTGACAAATAGCCTGACTCGCAAGGGAGTGCTGCTACAACGACTGACAAATAGCCTGACTCGCAAGGGAGTGCTGCTACATCGACTGAGGGTTTGGTTTGGGTAAATGGGCGCAAGAGTGGAGAAAGCTCTCCTAAAACGAACATGGCGAGCCATGCGAGCTGCTACCCTAAACTACTTTTTACAAGAGCTTTTGATTTTTGCACAAGCTATTTATTTATATAAAAATTGCTTATTATTTACAAAATTTGGTTTTATATTTTTTTAAAGCATATGTTTGTAACGTTAATGTTGCAATAGTTGCTCCCTGCTGAGGCCTGTATATATGTATATACATACATACATACATACATACATACATACATACATACATACATACATACATACATACATACATACATACATACATACATACATACATACATACATATGTATATATTAGTTTGTAAACAAGAATTGTTTGACTCAATTTCTTTGCTGTTTAAAAAACAATTTATGCTTAGATCAGAGTCTTCGAGAAGTAATAAAGAATATATCTGGGGTTGAATTGTTATCTGCAAACTCAGCTGATTCGGAATTACAGGCATGTAGTAATTAAATGTTGTAAAATTATATATTTGAATGTATGGGTGTTTGAACAAGAGTTTGTTTTGTAGGTTGCAAATTCCAGAGTAGAAATACCAAAGGAGAAAACTTGGGATAAGATAACCTTGACAACAGTTCTTATTTGTGGTTGTGTCCTAGCAACTTTTATTTTATCTGCTGCATTTTGTCTTATTAGAAGGTTTAAATTGGTTCTATTTTTAGCTAAATTTAAAAAATATATATATTAATAGATTTGCCAAAATATTTCATAGTTATAATATTTCTAGTCTTTCATATTATCATTTTAGTAATTCCAAAGGTGCACCTATAATATTAAAAAAACAAGAAGCAGTTCAAGATTACCAAGTAATATATTAATATTTTTAACATTCAAACATTTTGTTACATTTTAAGCATTTAACATTTTGTTACATATATAGTAGCAGACAAAATATTTGTCGGCTACTATATATATATATATATATATATATATATATATATATATATATATATATATATATATATATATATATATATATATATATATATATGTTATTATTCACGCATTAAGTTATCAGTGACGTATTAAGTACCAATAAAAAAATAAAACTTGCATCATGGCTTTTACAATTATTTTATACGGAAATTAAATAATCATGAAAAATTAAAAAAAAGGGTTTAGTTTAGTAATTTTAAAATTAATTTAAAAAAGTAAAAAATGTTAAATTCATCTAATCTGCTCCAAGTTTAATAAAACAATTTGTCAGGATTTTCAATAGATTTTATGTTCACATTTTTCTTTTCAAAGAAAGAAAAAAAAGGGAACAATTTGTTCTTTCGGGGTTTTTTAGATGAATTTAACATTTTTTACCTTTCTAAATTGATTATAAAATTAATTTAACCCTTTTTTTTTTTAATTTTTCATGATTATTTAATTTTCATATAATATAATTGTAAAAACCGTGTTGCAAGTTTTTTTTTTTTTTTTTTTTTTTTTTTTTTGCGCTTAATATGTCACTGGTAAAGCTTATTTTATTGGTGCTGGATACGTTACTTATAAAACTTTTGTTATGTCTATAGGAACTATTGCGGACTCAGATGTCCATTGTTAACTTACCAAAGCCAGATGATAAGTTAACTGAAAAAGAAGCAAGTATGAAACAAGCATGGTATGATTTCGAAAATTAAAGTAAAAATAAGACTTTCGTAATATGTAGATTTTTATGTTTTATACTTTAATTATTTTTTATTTTTATTGACAGGAGTGAAGATTCTATATACAAAATGGATATCACTACTGGGCATGTTATACTGGTAATATTTTTTCTCAACCAAAATATATGAAAGTGTTATAAAATATGTATATATAAAATGTATAAAATAAACATTTTATACATTTTGTAGAACTTAAAAGTGTTTTTTGTCAATTATGGTACTTTTAGTTTCTATCACAAAATTACTAGGTTTTCATTGTTTCCATCCCAGGTTGCAAAGTTCCCATGAAGTTACAGTTAAATAATTATTTTATGGATCCAAAAACACAAATTTTAAAAAAACTTTTAAAAAACTTAATTATAATAATTTAATTGTTAATAAGTGAAAAGATGTAGGCTTGAAACCCACTAATTGATTTGAAACACTTTTTAGCTTTTTTGATTAAACATAAAAATTCATTAAATATTGTCTTTTATTGTACTACAAAACAGTGATATTTTGTTTCTTATGTTTAATGTGATATTTTGTTTCTTATATTTAAGGCTTACATGGAAGATCACTTGAAAAATGACAATCGTTTAAACAAGGAATGGGAGGTATTTGTCTATTTTTGTAAAATTTTAGCTTAGTAACTTTATATATTATAATAATCTCCTGTTGAAGTTAATACTCTATATCAATATAATATAAAGATAGTTATACTATATCAACCCTCAAAATTTGGAAAAATGAGGATGACAATAATTTGCCAACCTTAGTCTTTTAGAGGTCGGCAACAAAAATTTGCTACCAAGGTCTTACCATAAAACATAGAAACGAGGTCGGCAAAAAATTGCAGACCTCAAATATTTTTAGGTCGGCATTGTCGAATGCCGACCATAATTCCGAGGGCTGCTATATATTATATTATAGGGTATTAAACTTAATGAAACTTTATGTTTTTTTGGTATTATTTTAGAAGACTTTAATACAGCAAAAAGCAAAAAAAAAATTGTTATTATATTTATTATAACTTTTTTTAAATTAACTATGCTTTTTCTCAATAACAAAACTTTAAAAACGTGCAACTTAAAATCTTGCTTTGCAATATTTATATTCCAGTTACTAAAAAAATGTTTTTATGTTTAATTTCTAAAACACAATAATTTTATTTTCAATATTTAGTTCTTAAATCCAGTTTCAGTCCAATGTAAGTGTTAGCTAAGACAAAGACAATGGTGGGTCACTGGCCCTAGCTAGTAGCTCAAACTATAAAATGTCTAAGTTTAAAAAAAAGAAAGTTTGCTGTTAAGGAAGTCTTAACAGCAAACAACTTGTTTGCTGTTAAGACTTGTAAAATATAGAAGGCCATGTTTTAAATATTTATTTTAATATTTCAAATTGTTTCATTAATTTAGGCACTTTGTAATTATCGACCAGATGATACTTCAGTAACGCAAGGCAGTGAAATGAAAAATGCTATCAAGAATCGTTACCGTGACATTCTTCCATGTAGTTTTTTAGTTTTGTTTTAAATATAACTTTTAATAAATAGTTTTTATATAAACTTAAGATGTCTTGATAAGATTATATTATTGTATAAATATATGGTTCCATGTCATATGGTTATATGTATAAATATATGGTTCCATGTCATATGGTTATATATCTATTTTAGATGATCATTCAAGAGTGAAGTTAAATCCCATGACGAATGCTCTCCACTCTGATTATATTAATGCTAGCTTTATAGTAAGCATATAGTTCTTTTTCTTTTTAGATAAAGTTTTATTTGTAAAATAATTTTATTTAATTTTTATTTAAGACTAATATTCGAGATGTTGAATACATAGCTGCACAAGGTCCTCTTTACAATACAGTTTCAGATTTTTGGCAGGTACGCCTATATAATATGCATAAAATTTAAATTTTTTAAATTTTATGTTTATTTTTTCACTATATTTTTACGCTTATCCCATTATAAAAAGTTTTTAATGTTTTTTATAAATAACTATATCAGTTTCTGTTTTCAATGTACTTTTGTATTTTGTTTTAATTTTTTGTACTTCTCTATTTTGTTTTTAATGTGCTTTCAATGTATTTTTATGTTAATACCAGATGGAATCAAAATAATTATAGATTGGTTATAGGAAATATAGAATAAAATAAATACAGATAGACTATAAATAATAAATATAGATAGTCTAAAATTAATATAATAGACTATAGATTGGCTTATATATTTACTTTATTTTTGTTTAGATGATATGGGAACAAGGTGTTGTTATTATTGTAAACCTTACTAGGCTTTCTGATATGGGGCTTGTAAGTCAGTATGCTATTTTTTTTTCAATTACCAAGTTGGTTTCTATGAAGTATAGATTAAGTGGCATTACAACTTTAATGCCACCTAATTTATATCATGGAATAAAAACATGTAAATTTCATTTATCAATATATTGCGTATAATGCGTATATATTGCAATATAAATGCATATATTGCAATATATTGCGTATAATGCAATATATTATCAATAACATGCGTAGTTTTATGCAAATATATGTGTTTTTATGTGGGATGCATTTATGTGGAATTAAAATCAAAAAAGAAATAAGATTATTTATGTGCAGTTTTGTGATTACCTTTTTTATCCTTTACTTTTTTAGCCACTGTGTCATCGATATTGGCCTGAAGATGGAAGTGAAATTTATCATATATATGAGGTTGGTTAAATTACAATTTATAATTAATTATTAAATCAAAATTCGAATAATATTACATAATAGTTCAGTTAAAAAGATCAATATTGTTGGTCTTATTATTGGCGTTTAAAAGTTTTTTTTCTATGTCCCACACAAGCATCTTACAAAACTAAAATTTTATTGAATTATGGTTAACTTCTCTCTTGGATAAAAAAATTTCCCAACAAAGCGGAGACAATGATAAATGGTACCTATTCTGATAGTGTACCAGGTAGTGTTAATGGCTCAGTTCTTTTAAAACTATTATTTATTGTATGCATTAATGATTTGTTAATTACAGGTTTAGTTATCTCTAATGCAAATTTTTTGCATAAACCCTCCATTAAAATAGACTTTTGGTCTATCCTTTATTTATATTTAAATATTAAAGATAAAATTCAATAAAAATTTTTCTTTTAATAATACTCTACAATCTATTATATTTTTTGAATGTTTTTTGAATGATTGTTGAAAAAGTTTTGACTTGCAGAACTCTTGCAGTTCTGACTGTCAGGTAAAAAAAGCTTCTTTTTTTTACCTGACATTCAAAACTGCAAGTTATTCTTTAAAATAACTAATTACATAAATTACATTATAAATGAAAGTAGCAAGTTAAAATAATAAAAAATTGCAAATAATTGATTGCATAATGTTTGTTTTGTGAATAGGTTCACTTGATTTCTGAACACATTTGGTGTGATGATTACCTTGTTAGAAGTTTGTATTTAAAAAATATGCAGGTAAAATGATGAAGCAGTTTTTTAAATGTTTTTATTTTTTATTTTTTTTTCATTTTGAAACAGTAATTCAGTTTAGCTTTATTTAATGTGAAATATGTGCAAATAAAAACAAAAAAAGAGAAAATGTAGGAAACAGTATAACTTAAGAAATAATAGCATATAAAAAAGCAAGACATTTGTGAACAAACATCTTGCTTTTTTATATGCTAGTATTGCTTATGTTATACTGTTTTATGTTATACTTATGCTATTATTTTTTATGTTATCATTATTTTTTTTACTAATTATGTTAATTTATGCTGTTTTCTATATTTTGTGGGCACTAAGAAAGCTATTATTACTCTTAGACATCTGAAACACGCACAGTAACTCAATTTCATTATTTAACATGGCCTGATTTGAGTGTTCCTATATCTCCCAAATCACTTCTTGATTTCAGAAGGTAAATGAGCTTTTTATAATTACAAGTCACTTGCTTTGTGTATGATAAAATTTATTTTAATTTTATATATGTTCATATGTTATTTTTAAAATGGTGACAAATTTTTGTTTGAAAAATTTTTTTAAAATTTTAAACCTCTATTTAGAGAAGCATCCATGAATTAAAAAAAATAAATAGTTAATCAATTATAAATATTTTTCATCAAAGTATTTTCTCTTTTTTACTTTTTATTTGTTTGAATAGTACAACTTAAATGACTGGGTTACACTGTTATTACCAGATATAAAGAAATATAATATTTGCTTATATTTGCTATAAAATAAACCCAATTCAAATGATTTAATGTGTTCCTTTAAAATTATTCTGAATCAGTTACATTCTGAAGATTTAAACAAGTTTCTCAATTTTCTTGTTTATTATCTAAATGCATTTTGATTTTAAACACTAATTTAATCAAAAATAGTTTTGTAACTAAATTTGTGTTTAAAATCTAATTATGTTTACAGTTACTAATTTTTATATGCAGATCTGCGAATTTATATAGACAGATAATATATAGTTGCGCATAATTATTTATTATTATTATAATTAATTATTTATTAACTAATTAGTTTCAATTGTATGTGCATGAGAAAAAAAATGTATACAAAACTCATGTTTAAAATGCCAAAACGTCTAAACAGTTTTTAGAGTGTATGCAAAAGAAATAGTGAAATAAACAAAATAGGTAAAACATATTAGGAATTGAATACTTATTAAAATGTTTTATATTTTGAAAATGAATTTGATTACATGTTTTTATTACAAACTTAATTCTCTGCTCTAATTTTTATGTCAGAGGATAAAATTCTGCATAATAAAATAGCTTTGAACATATTTTTTAAAAAAATTTTTTGCTAAGTTTTTATTTTTAAATTTTTTTTAATTAGTAATATAAAATGATCACACATTGATATCATAAGCTTGAAATGTTGCTCAATTTTGTTCTGTTAGCCTTTGTGGCTTAAATGGCATACAAGATGTCTAACAACCTTTTCTCTATAATTTCCAAACACAAACAGGTCCCTGATTTATTACATGCTCTTCCGTACCATCAGTTCCTACTGTTTGTTTATTGACTGCTATACCCCCTTTCCAACCAAAGATTTGTCACTTATTGTAATTTTATTGCTCGTAACAATCAAAAGGTGCCCCATAATTATGGGCGTGTTAACCCCCATAATCATGGTACACCATATTGGTTGTTAACCCTTTAACACTGAGTTCAGATAACCCATAACCTCTTAACAATGAGTTCATTAAGCTCTTTTTTTTTCTTTATCCATGAAGTTCCTTCATGCATTAGGCTTGGTCTCTGATCTTTTCTAGTTGCACACGAGAAGGGACTGCTTGCCTAGATTTACAATAGTAGATACAAGAGAAATTGTGAAGTTATAGAACTCCACTTTTTTTCTCTGTGTGTGTCTAATTTGAATAGTAACTTTATCATTTTGAAACATTTTTGCTTATTATTTATTAATAAATTATGAATATAAGAAAATTAATTATGGGAAAGTAAGAAGTTATAGAACAAGTTTGTCGATTAAAAATAGGTAGTGCCTGATACCCTACCAATATTTTAGAATGTAGAGTACGAAAAAATTGGGAACCCCCTGCTTTAAGGGTAAAGCCGAAAAAAATTAGGTTCTTTTTTTTTCTAATTTTATTTTTCAAGCATATTTTAAATATAAAAAGTATATCAAAATTTTATGAATTTTAAAGTTTAAACTTAAATTTAAAATTTAAATAATAATTAACGATGTTGATTTTAACATCTTCGATTAAGATGATTAAAGATTTTTTCTTGTTTTTCTTGTTTGTTCAACTTCTTTCTCCGTGCAGCAGCCTTGTTCGTCAAGGTTCGTGTTTCGGAGTTGAATTATAGAGTTGAGAGAGGGTTGTAACCACAACTAAAGTAGCCTCTTCGACTGTAGTGGCTTTCTTGGCCTTAGGGAAGTAAATTAATATAAAATAAAATAAAATAAAAAGAATGTTTTGAAAACATCTTCGATGTGATGATTAAAAGTGTTGATTATAAAATCTTTAATCAAAATATAATTATGTATTATTAATTAAAAATGTGTTAGAAACACGCTGCTATTTTTTATTTATTACGAATACATTTTTTTTTTTTAATTTCATGCAGGAAGGTAAATAAATGTTATCGTGGTCATGCACGACCAATTGTTGTTCATTGTAATAATGGGGTTGGAAGAACAGGAACATACATACTTTTAGATATGATATTAAATAAAATGATAAAAGGTATTACGTGATTTTTTTTTTAATTTATTATTTGCTTTTGTATGCTTGCTTGTATTTCTCTTTCTATATTTACTTTTAATTGAAGGTGCAAAAGAAATAGACATTGCAGCAGCTATTGAACATCTTCGCGATCAAAGAGCGGATATGGTGAAAACCAAGGTAATCCGAATTTATTTCTAATAAGGCGAGATAATCTTTTTTAACTAATTCTAATTTTTTTTAATAATATTTTTGACTTAATATAACCAACTTAAATTGTTTTTAGGGTCAGTTTGACTTTGCATTAATGGCTATGGCAGAGGAAGTAACCGCCATATTAAGTTCTGTCTCTAGATAATATTTTGTTTGCTTTAAACCACCTGCCTTCATGCTTTTTTTTTTTATAATGCATTTTCAAAGAATATATTTAAAAAGTTTTTTGAGTTAGGTTTTTGTGATTTTTTTTTAATTATTTTTTTCGAATTTATTTAAAACATATTTAGGATTCTCATCTAATTTAGTTTTTTCGTGTTCTTTTGTTTGTGTTTATGTTTTTTGAGTCAAATTTATTATTTTTAAATTGGTTTTTGATTTTTTTAAAGTTACTTTTTTTTTTCTTTTTTTTATGAATAAATTATTTTTTTACAAATTACGATCCTGCGTCATACACAATCCTGTGTTATAAATGTGCAAAAGATTTGTTTATTTTTTTTTTTTGTATATATAAATATTCTTATTCCAATTTTTATTTGTATTACTACTTTTTATTTGTAGCGCTGTAAAAACTTAAAAAATAGATATTTATTTTGAGCTTATGTATTTATACAAATGTAGACTTTGTTAACGATTTCTAGGTGAAGTTTGTCTTTTTTTGGCGTTAAGTTTTAATAACTGCACTCAAGGAAAGTCATCTAATTTGTGTACAGTGTTTTTTGAAAGCAAAAAGGACTAATAAAATTTTGTGTATATTAAAGGTTTGTTTTTTTTTAATATACTTAAGATTTATAGTTGCAAAAAACAGAAACCCGTCCTACATTGACGTAAATGTATAATAAAATTGATGAGATTATGTCGTATTTCTGAATTTATGTTCAATGATCGTAAATTAATAAATTCCTTTGTTTGCTTAATAGGAATTTTCAACTCTTTGATTAGACTTCATAGTCATAAAAGCCGTTTACAAATTTGCTTTGTGTAATAATTGTATATTCATTTTTTTAAATCTTGAGTTGTCGTACCCTAGCCAAAAGTCCTTTAGGACCTATGCGATTTTAAAACAAAAAACAAACTTTAAAAACTATAAACACTTTAACTTGTGTTTTAATTAAAGCGAACTATTTTATGTTTCAAATTCTTATAGGATCCTATAGGACTTTTTAACCAAGGTTGCTTTGAAGAGCTTTCATTGCTATAAACAAGAAATTTTAATTTATAAAATCGTTTTCATAACATGATTAATTGATTAAAGTTTTAATGGTTTACAAGAAATTTCATTCTCATGGCATTGGTTTAAATGCTGTGCATTTTTTTCGGTAAAAAAAGCGGGTTCATCTATCACTTTCTATCAAAAGCGTGTTTTCTTTTACGATAGTCGGGCCTCTTATTTAACTATTTAAAAGATATATGTGAAATATCTTTAACAATTATGTCGAAATGCTTGATTTAACTATTTTTTTCTGGATATTGAAATATTTATATTAATCTGAATAATTCTGTAAGTTATGAGCCATTTGTCGTTAAGTTGGTACATAGGGCAAAGTGACCAATTAATGGCCACAAATCTCTTAAAGATAGCCGTGAAGGATGCCTTAATGTAAAAGTTAATTTTTTTTTTAATGTTTTATTAATGACTAACGCCTACACCTTATTAGAACTTTTTTTGTTTTAAAACATGCTTAATTCAGAGAAAAGTCTTTTTAAACAGAGATTTTAATTGTGTACCAATTAATGGCCGGGTAGACCAAATAGATTATGAGCCACTTATATTACCTAAAATCAACATATCTAAAAATGCTTATATATTGAAAAATATTATCCAGACAGACGATTAAAGCCTAATAATGAACTTAGATCAACTTCATAGAACTATAAACCAAGATTATTTTTTTAAAAGTATATAATATTATTAAGTCTTCTATATTAAACTTAAAAATGATATTTTGGTTGATAATAAACAAAAAAACTTATACAGTATTTATTTGTTATTCAAGTTGAGACAGTAACAAAAAGAAACTTTTTAATTATAAAATATAAAAGCATAGAACTATAAAAGCATAGAACAAATTTTAAATAAAAAATTCTTTTAGCACATAGCTGTTATAAGATTTCAACTTGCATATTGTAATGCAATTTTCAATATATTGACAATAAACTTTACAATAATATATTGAAGTTTTGATATTGAACTATTAATAATCTATTTAAATGAGCTCACTTGTATTATTATCGATGAATCGAGTTGTATTCTCTGGTACTTCAGTACAGATTTTTTGATTATATGAAGAGATATTGACTTTCATCATCTTTGGAATTGAACTGACTTTTCTCATTTTAACTGAGTTAGCTTTTTTAGATAACTTTTGAATCTCTTTCTCTTGTTTTTGTTGTGCTTTTTTTCTTTTTGCTTTTTCAATTTTTTTTTCTTCAGCTGCCGTGGCTTTCTCTTTTTTTTTACCTCATCTTTCAATTTAGATTGCATTGCTTTTGAGAAGTTAATACAAAATATTTTTGAACCTTTTTTAGATTTTTTTTTTGTCTTAGTAGCATATATCTTAGGCAAAATATCACTGTCATTACCATTAGTTAAATGCTTTTTACACGAAATAATTGGTGTTAGACTAGGCTGAACAATGGCTTCAACTGGCATCTGATTACAACGATGAGTAGTTTGATTGGAAAAAAAACTAGACTGTCCAGTTGTTATATTTGGAACAGGAATCGGCTGAACATTTAAAATTGGAATAGGAACTATGGATTCATTTGGCATTGAAACAGAGTCATCTGTTTCTAAAATAGCATTTGTACATGAAATGTGTTTCAGTTGGCAATTCTTTAAATAAAATATAAAAAGGATCTGGGATGTTGTAGCCATTTTGATAACAGAAATTGAAAGTTGTAAACTGCTCATGAGTTAAATGTGTATCCCATATCAAAGAAGCAGTATTATTGTTAAGGTTTATTGGAATCTTGTTATTCTAGTGTCAGTTTTGATTGGGTGTAGACTTAATTCAAGCTGATCATTTTTGTCAAGTAGTTTCTTTTTAATTTTCTTTTCTATTTTATTTGTGATTTTTTTTTGTTTTTTCTATAATTACTCAAATTAACTAAAAGATAGAGTATACTAACTACAATAGTTGACCTTACATACATCTAATCTAAATATATTATCATAACATACACAGATGTCACAAAGAAGTTTTTTTTTTAACAAATTCGCATCCAACAAGGCTGCAAGAAACCACTAATTAGTGTTGGAAGTTACTGGAAGAGAAAAAATGAAGATTGTAGAGCAAGATAATGATTGGCAGACGACTTAAAAGATTGCAAACTAAATAAATCAGGAAAGCAAGATGAAGGAATCTAATTCCAAAGAACTGATGTTCGAGGAAAAAAACTAGACGAATAAGAATTTTTGGAGCACTTAGGAACAGTAACAGAAAAAGGATGAGACTTAATTGAATGACGAGTAATACGAGAATGAATTTTAGTAGATGGCACAAGAGACGCTAGCTCATTAGAGCAGTGCCCATTATAGTATTTGTAGAAAAGAGAAAGAGAAACAACATTACGACGATGTGACAGAGGTTGAAGGTTGGCTGCAAGAGCAGGTCCAACTATGTTTACAATGCGTTTTTGCACCTTGTTTAAAAGAGAAAAGGGCATCATTAGAAGATCCGCTCCAGATATGGCAACAGTATTCCATGCAAGGTCTGATTTGAGATTTATAGAGATAGAGAATAGAATCCAGAGTAAGAAAGTGTCGAGCTCGATAAAGAGATGCAACTTCAGCAGATGCTAATTTTGCAATGGATTTGATATAAGGTTTCCAAGAAAGATCAGAAGTAAGAGTTAATCCTAGAAGATGAAGGGTAGATGACTCATCGAGTACATTACCGTTCATAAATATACGATTGGCTGAAAAAAATTGAGTTTTATCTGAATTAAAGTTCACCAGCCACTGTGAACCCCATGCTGTAGCAGAAGTGAGATCCTTTTCAAGCTCAGATGCCCCCTGCAAGCAATCAGAGGGAGTTGGCTTCTTATCATGACAAGAATAAATGGTAGTATCATCAGCGAACAATGCCACCTTAGATTTGAGAATATCTGGAAGATCGTTAATGTAAATTAAAAAGAGTATAGGGCCAAAGATTGAATCTTGAGGAACCCCTGAGGTTACAGAATATGAAGAAGAGCGCTGTCTATCAAGGACAACTTTTATACTACGATTGGAAAGGAAGGATTCAATAATCTTAAAGAAAAAAGCTTATGGAGAAGATCAACATGCCAAACTTTATCAAAGCTTTAGAAATGTCAAGAGCAACGGCCTTAACCTCTCCACCTTTATCTAATGCGTGATAAAACCTATCGGTTATTGCTGATAGCAAATCAGCCGTAGAACGAGAAGATCGAAATCCATATTGATGATCAGAAAGTAGGTTATGAGATTCGAGATGAGAGATTAAGTGTTTGTTAATTAAAGATTCAAAAACCTTGCTTATGATAGGAAGAAGACTAATGGGACGGTAGTTAGACGAATCAGATCGCTCTCCAGAATTTTTAAAAATAGGGATAACAGATGCTGCTTTCCAGCAGGCTGGAAAACAAGACTCTGATAAGCACTTGTTAAATAGTTTTGAAAGGATAGATGACAGCTCCGGAGAACACTTCTGCAAGACTATAACAGGTATGTTGTCTGGGCCGCAAGCTGTAGAAGAGTCTAAGCAGGAAATCACTTTAGATACAGAAGCTGGAGTGATACGGATGTCGAGCAATGGATCAACCTGTTTGACGGCTACATCAGATAGAACGCAACTAGTGGAATCAAGAGATAATATTGATAAAAAGTTCTTAGCAAACAATTCAGTTTTGCCTTTAGGTGAGGTGACAAAGTCTGAACCATACAAAAGAGGTGGAATTACAGACTTGCCCTTATTATCGATACTATTAAAGATTCTCCAGAAGTCACGAGAGCCTAATTTTTGTGATGAAAAACGAGATTTCATAACATGAAAATATCATAATATGATGATAGGGGGATTCTGATGATAAAGAAGAATGTGATAATAGTTTTAGAGAGACCAAACCATGATTGGAAGCACCTAAGGGTGAGTGTGGAGAAACTGAGCACTGACTAAGATCAGAAACAAGACATAAGTCGATTAGAGAAGGTAAATGATTCGGGTTGTCTGGAAAGCGAGTTGGAAAGTTGACTATTTGAGTTACGGATTGAGAAAAGCAAAAGCTGTGGGCCTTAATGCCTGCAGAGTCACTGATACAAGAGCTAAGCCATTCAGTGTGATGAACATTAAAGTCACCGACAACAACAATATTGGCTGATGGATAAAGAATGAGGGCTTGGTCAATATGATCAGAAATAACACCAAGAAGAGTGCAGTCTTGAGATGAAGGAGAGTGATATAAAACAAAGAGAAAAGTGATAGAGTGAAGTGGTGCTAAACAAAAGCACATAAAAAACTAGTCTGTGGATTTAAACCTAGTTCCCCGACAAATGGGTGAATTCTTACGAATGTAAATGCCCAGGCCAAGCATGTGACTATTGGAGTCTTTACAAATTAAAGGAAGATAACCATCAACACTAAGATCACAAGATGAGACAGCTGAACTCAAATTAGTCTCACAAAGAGCAAGTAGGTTTGGTGAACTTCGCAAGAGATAAGACTCAACAGAAGAAAAGTTACTTCGAAGACCACGAATACACATACAAGCATAAAATACACGAATACACATCCAAGC